ACCGTGGGGATGTCCCCTAGAACCGTCCCCGAAATTTCACCCAACCAAATCAGCAGTTTAACACCTCTGCCTCTTAACCCGAGATGAAATCTTGGAAAATAAAAATAGTGAGCTAAATTTTAATCTGGGAGGAAGTGATAAGCCGAGACGATTGGAGCAAGGAGTGAGAGAGGAATCTAGGAGGCTGAACGACGGAATGTCCTAGAGAACACTGGGGACTATTCATTCGCGGGGTTAACTCACTTAACGTGAGCTTACAAGGCACAGGAGTTCAGAATCACACGGTGGCCTACTTTACCGCATTATCTTTAATGGGACCGCAGAGTCCTGGTTTCAGAAAGCACTTCTTGGGGCGGATTCCCACAATGAGGTCTGCAGGCAGGTTCAGAGAAAACGCCCGCACCCCGGCCCGCGTACACCTCCGCCTAGAGAAACAGACTGAGCACGCAGGGGGCGGCCGAGCCACGCTCCTCCCGGCCACCGGCTGTAGGCTGACGTCACTTCCGGCCCCGGGCCATTCGCATCCGGGTGAGGTTAAGCTGCTCGCTTTCGGGGTCGGAGTGGTGGAGCTGCCTCGCTGTCCGCGTTCTCTGCTCCGGACGTGTCTACCGGCGCGGAGCCCCCACTGTCCCAGGCCGAGAAGGAGGACACCTGGCCGCGAGCGGCGGCTGGACTGGGTCACGCTGCTGCCGGCTGTGGATTCTGCTCCTCCGCCGGCTGCTGTTTCTGGGAACCGGGCGCTAGCACTGAGGGGCTCCCTGTGGACAGTGACCCCCTTCCCCGGCTCCCCTGCCCACCCCGCCGGGGAGGGCGGAAGATGCCGGTGAAGAAGAAAAGAAAATCCTCCGGAGTGGCCGCGGCAGTAGCGGAAGACGGAGGCCTGAAGAAGTGTAAAATCTCCAGGTACCACCTCCCCCCACCGTTCCAGCTTGCCTCCTTCCTGCTCTGCTGGGGAGAAGCGGGAGGCGGGCCGGACCGCTGCGGCGGGGAAGAAGTGGGGCCCCCGCGGCCCCCGCCGGGGTGGATGCTCCGCTGCGCGAGCCGCCGCCTCGACCTCGTGTGCTCGGGAGAGGCGCCCCACACGAGCGTCCGCCAAGCCCCGGAGGGTGGGACCTAGGGGTGCGTACGTGGATTGCATACTTTCCAAACGGTTCTTCTTTGGCCCTTCCCCACTTTATTCCCAGCCTTGGAAATGGGGACCCTTCTCTGGAAGGGCCACTTCGAGGATCTCTTTACATAACGTGCAAGGAAAGGAGCACCGCTTGAGGCATCTTGACAACTGCCTCGGGGATGGTGGAAGAGAAACTATCGATGCTGTAATTGGCCTGCAAATTGAGTATTTGGGGTGATCCAGCCCGGGCGATCCCAGCAGGAAGCCTTTTAAATTATTGGGAGGTCCATTCTCTGGAAGTATCAGCGCCCTGGCCTGTGCCAAGACCCTCTCCCATAGAACTGGAAAGGCTCTGCGTGCGCTTTGTTTTCTAGCATTCAGGATGCTTTTTGCTTTCAGTATAAATATTAATAATTTGAGGGTTACTGTATTTTGTATCCTCCTGGAGATCAGACAAAATATTTCGCACGTTGATCGCATTGTTGCATCTCATTGAGCTTTCACGCAGCAACCCTGGATGCTGCAAAGAGTCACTGCAATTTGGGTATAAGCATTGATTTTTTTAAATTTCCCTAGTATGCAGCTTTGATAACACGAATGGTTGACACTTAATTGTGATAGCACCGGATTTTACCATTAAGTGGAAGCCAGAATCATAAAGAGGAAAGAATGGTAAAGCTCTCCTTAAAGAGAGATTTGTTTAATATGCAAGGTACATGATTTATTTATTCAGTATGTTCCTTATTGAAATTGGTTGATTACTGTGTTATGATTACTGTTTCAGCAAAAGAGCCAAACAGTGTATCTTGAGCTATTAATGTGGAAGGTGATGCTTTTTGCTTTATTGGTACTGCACACTGAGATTTGACAGGATTATTCACATGCAAATTAGCTTTTTAAAATATTTCTCAAACGTGGCCATCTTAAATGCATAATACGTCAAAATTACTTAGACAAATACATTTCAAATACTCATAATAGTGTAATTTTGCCCAACGATGCAGCCAATGGCAATATGGTAAATCATTAATTTTTCGGTTAGTTGGACATCATTTAAGTCAATACATTAAATTAACTGAGGAGTCAGTATCATTACAGCTCAGGTGATACTTTTATCAATTAAAAATTTATAATATGGCACCCATATTTAATATTACATGGTTGCAAGAGTTCTAGGATTTTCTGTATTACTGTAATACTATAATTGATTGTGCTCCTTAAGAAATGATTCTCAGAAATCCATTAAATCCAAGAGGTTATTTGTGAATTTTCAAGCTTCAATTATGAAAGTAAGGCCTAAAAATAAACATATTGGGATTTAATAGCTTTGGCTCAATTATTTGAACTTTTATTTACACCTATTTATGGATCATAATTAAGATAATAAATGCGCATATCCCCCTTTTTTGAATATTGTTTATTACCAAAATATACTTTGTTTTTACAATATTTTGACCATGCCCTTTTTACACCAGAACAATTTCAATGCAAATCAGGCACCTATGTTTTTCTATCAGTTCTGCATCAGGACCATTTGTCTCTGTTACCTAACAAATCTGGGGAAATAATATTAGTTGCTATCTTATGAAATTTGATAATGAGAAAAGTCTCAGTTGGGTTTTGTTAGCAAGATATTATTGTTATAGACCATTGTTTTTAATCGCAGATACTTAAAGATGCCATATACCCCCATTTGATGCCAACAACGGGGGAAAAACAATTTGAGTTAAAGTGTTTCCTTTGGAATAAGAATTGAGACTTGATAAAAAATCTTAGATATTTGTGTGTTTTCTAAGCTATTGCAGATCACAACCTCCTGCTAGACTAATAAGTGGAGAAGAACATTTTTCAAGCAAGAAGTGCCTGGCTTGGTTTTATGAATATGCAGGTAATGAAATCAATGCATGAAGATATCAGTCATATGCTTTGAAAATTTGCGGTTAGAGGTGTTCATTCATTTAACACCCTCAGTTTATTTATTGAAGGCCTGGTTTGTGTTAGTGCTCTGTACTAAGGCTGAAAGTTGTAGGAAGGCAAGAATCTGGTGCCTTTTCAAATGGATGTTTATATCTATGCATATAAAATACATATATTATGTTTTTACATACATACATACATACATGGATGAGTCAGAAAGTATTGCTACTAGGGCTCCAGTTCAAACATCCAGATTTATTGTGAACAAAATGTGTTTAAAGGTGTCTACAATTTGTGAGTGGCAACAGACAGGTTTTCTTTCTTTCTTTTTTTAAAAAAATCATTTTATTAGGGGCTCATACAACTCTTATCACAATCCATACACACATCAATTGTGTAAAGCGCATTTGTACGTTCATTGCCCTC